GCGGTGTGGGTGTGGGTGTGGGTGTGGGTGTGGGTGTGTGGGTGTGGGTGTGGGTGTGGGTGTGGGTGTGGGTGTGGGTGTGGGTATGGGTGTGGGTGTGGGTGTCGGTGTGGGTGTGGGTGTGGGTGTGAGTAAATGATAGGAGTACCATCTACATCCATACACCCACACCCACACCAACATCCACACCCACACCCACATCCACCCACACCCACCAACACCCACCAACACCCACACACACCCACACTCACACCCCACACCCACACTCACACCCCACACTTACACCACACCCAAGATAGGCTATAGGCTGGACAACAAAACGCTTTTAGCTGGCTTCTAAATGAGACAATTAATTAGCTAAAATTAAAAAATTTTTGTGAAGGCAAATTTTTGTTTTGACGACTTCTTTTCTTCGCAGATACGACGCGCAGTTTTGATTTTGTGATTGATATTGATGCGCATTACATCTAGCTGTCTTATAAAAGCAGTCTTGAAATTTCGACGTGATCTACCGTCGCGATATGACGTCTAAAAAATTGTTCCTTGAATTGGATTTTGGAGGAATCAAAAGAAGTGAATTTCGATCTGAAATTTTGCCCACAAGTAGGCTTCCTGACTCTTAGAATGCCATGAAAATTTCAGCCAAAATGGATGCTTCTTTAGTGAGATATTGCACGTTAAAAAAAAAGTCGATTTTGTGAAATAGCATCATTTTTTTCTTATTCAATACCCAGTGAAAAAATGTCGGATTATATCAGATTTCATCAGATTATCATCGGATTTTTGTGCAACAAAATCAAAATTATACTTGATTTAAAAGATTATTTTGGATTAAAAATCAAATTATTTTTGATTGGAAAGATTTCAATCGATTATAATTTTGGTTTTGTTGCACAAAAATCCGATGACAATCTGTAATAATCTGACATTTTTTCACTGGGTATCTCGACAACAAAGCATCCGTTTTGGCTGAAAATTTCAAGGCATTCTAAGTAACATGACACTTACTTATGAGAAATATTTCAGATCAAAATTCTTTTCTTGTGACTCTTCTATAGGGTCGAATATTCCTTACAAGAGATATTTAATAATTCTAGAAGAAGAACAAGATAATTCTTTTTATGCATAATATGAGCATAGTGAAGGTCCATTATCTCTATTTGTTTTATTATGCTAAGTGGGGAGCTAATGTCCTTAGGCCTTTTAAGACATACACATTATCTCTATTTTTGTGATCAGCTTCCTCGCATTGTCAAAAAATATCCCTTCGATTTTTAATGGTTAACTATACATATGACATCATTTTGTTTTTGTATTTTGCTTACCTATAAACGTCAATCGTTTGAGTATTATCATAAATCTTGTAGTATTGCAATGAGTTCGATTTGCCTAGGATTTATATTTAGTTTATGAATTGTACATATTTACGATTTACTTAGATTTTGGTCTCACATATTGTTCGAATGGTGATTTTCTGCAATATATTAATGACGCTGGTCATCTTGAAGAAGAAGTTGTACGATTTTGTGCTACTCAACTTATTGAAGCACTTGAACAATTACATATTCGACATATAATTTATCGAGATCTGAAAGTAAATTAATTTTTTGTTTCTATTTTGGATAGTTTTTTTTTTCTTCTTTTACAGCAGGAAAATATTCTTTTGACTGATGGTATGCATATTCAATTAATTGATTTTGGTTCTAGTACTATTATTGACAATAATGAAGTGCCTCAAACAGATAGCAATGATAGCCAAGATGAAAAGAAAAAAATCATTACAACGAAAGAATTCATTTGTTGGTACAGCTCAATTTGTAGCACCATAGAAATTCTCCAGGATGGTCCTATCCATTTTGGGTTTGTTAGAATTTAAAACATCGTTTGATGAGGAAGATGTTTCTTTTTTAGATCTGATCCCTGGTCACTTGGTTGTAGTATTTATCAAATGGTTACTGGGAAACATCTTTTCTGTGGATAGTAAGCGACCTTTCTTTTGGTAAACAAAATTCTTTGAATCAGTTTAGTCATGAATATGATATTTTCAATGATATTGTTCGTGTTGCTAGTAAATTACCTGATGACTCCCTAAATACTATTGGTGATCTTATACAAAAACTTGCTGGATGAATTTCTTTTCTTTTCTTTCTGAATGCTCGTTTTCTATCTAGCGTCTTGTACGAACTGAACGACTTGGTAGTGAAAAAATAGATAGAATAATCAAATTGAAAACACATCCATTCTTTAGTGTAGATTCTTATGAAACTAAATGGGATAATCTATTGAATCAACGATTACCAGTTCAAGCGAAAATGAAACATAATTCAAGATCAAAAATAAATAATGATGACGGAGAAATTAAAAAGACAGACGATTGACTTTTTTTAAACTCTATAAAAAGAAAGAGTTTTGCGAATTGTGCTGTCCGCTGCCAATAGCTATATGAAATGGTATTTTTTTTTTAGTTCAAAATGTTTTTACATTGGTGATGAGAAACAGAATCTTATTAAATGTTTAGTATAATTATTAAACGAAAACAAATGAATAGAAGGGAAGAATATATATGGTTCATGCTTTTGTTAATTTTGTATCTTTGATTTGTGTTTAATATTTTCTTAGTTGTTTTCTTGTACTTTCATTAGTTCTCTTTTGTGTTTTTATCAAATTATTTTAAATTCGAGAAGAAAGTTTTATTTGAACGAATTACTTTTAAGAAGCAACAATTTTTTTTATATGCATATTTTATTCTAATATTAAACAAAATAAAATTTCAAATTGATTCTGTGTTTGAATCACAAACAGAATATCTGTGCTGCAGAAAACTTGTTTTTGCAAAAATTAAATTTAATGAAAAAGATAGAAGATACTGATTAACGTTTGTATCCAAAATTCTAAGTCTTCTTGTTGAATTACTGATATCTAAAAAATTGTTCTTGAACATGACTCTGTTTGTAAATGTGAACAGACTTAATTCCTGTATCTTCAAAAGCTTTTCTCGAAACGTTACAGTAGAATGGCTGAATTCATCTTACTGTTCAAACAAATCACTATACGATATTATTACTACTGGTTGTTCAAATTTCAAGATAACTTTGATTTTGCTTTTTTTTATCAGATTTCATCAATTAAAGAAACGTCAATGTAATATAACAAATTAGATACATTTAGTTGATTAAAATAATCTTTGTTTGTAAATTTCGAAATGGTCTATAATTTTCAATTATTCATCAGAAATACACTTTTGGCAAATAGCTACTGCTATCGTTCTTTTATAATCTAGAAATTTTCTTTCATACATATCCTGGTCAATGATTTCGGCGACCGGATCCGTGGATTTCTAGCTGTAGAACTCCGGAAAATCCGATCACTGGATTCCTACTTCCGAGTTCGTACCATTTTTCGGAATTTTGGATGTGTATGAGGAAAAACCTTATACCCATATCCTCATGCAAAAAGCTGACCTCTTTGCTGCCTCGCCGTCTCAAACAATGTCAAATAGTCCAAGAAGTTACAATGATCAAGCATCGATCAACCTCGAGAAACATCCTTCCTTCAAACGTCAACCGACTCTACGATTATGCACATAGAAGAAAGTGCTACTTTTGAGAAAGTTTTTGCTGTGATAACACTAGTCAGATAATTAAAGGAAGAAAAATACATGCATATTCTAACAGCAAGAAAATTCGGTGATAACATTTATAGCTGAACAAAGATAAAACGTAAAATGACTCTATAATTTTGCACAATACTCTAGTTCAAATATTAACTCATTATATTCTCAATACTTCGGCAAGCTTTTCTCAGAGAAGAGGAGACGCTCCAGCGAGAAAAAAATAGGGATTGACTCGAAGCATGACTCATACTTTGAGAAGACGGAAGAGAAACAAGAAGAGCTAGAAATGCCATTCAACGCTATGCGACTTGATAGAAAGTGCCTGACTAATGACGCGACATGTGTTTTCAGGTAGACTACTATTCACTTATTTTTCTTTGTGAGCAATATGAGTTTAATTGAAGAGAGAAGAGAATGTAGAATAGCTTTGCATTTTGCGTGACACAAGAAAGCGACGATGAATTGGTATCATATTCAACTACTATTGATTGAACGTTGACTCTGTAATGAAAGCTTCAGCTATGCATTATCGTTCTGCTTGTTTAGATAGCTCGCAACTAGAATGGACTTTCAAATAACAGACTTCAGATTACACTCCTTACACTCTTGCGACATCGCTATACATTTTTTCTAGATTAGAAGACGCTCTGATAAAGTGAACGATGGACTGTTACTAAACATGACTCATACATCAGTAGAAGAGAAGATGACAGAAGAAGAAAAATTTACTATAGTAACCAGCGAGTAAACAATCACTGAGTCATCTCCATCTGCACGCCGTGCAGTCAGTCGACTTAATAGACTAGTAAGAATCTGTGAGCAAAATGTTTTCAACAAATTTTATACAAAATTAGAAGTAGTTATTTGTAATTCTAATTTAAGACACTGGTCAGTATGATCTGCAAAGAAACCACATAATAGAATTTCGTTGGATTGAAACATACACCACTATTGATACACTACAAATTTTTCTTATACTGAGTGTGTATAACTTTCATTTGTATGTGTACCTTGATAGACAAAAGTTTCTAGTAGATTGAATATTCAACTTTATCAATTCTCTACAATTGCATTTGATTTCAGATAATTGATTTTTGTTAACAGAAGACTCATCAATGGCCACTGCCTATGTACTTTTTATTGTCACTGTGCCAAATGATCAACAGACAGAGGAAACGAGCCAAGAACCGACGGTAAAAAGCTACTTTCATCTCGTTTACGAGCATGTTTGTCTAACTCTCTTTCTCTTCACATTTAAGCATACACGACTTTCGTTATGTACTAACTTGAAGACCTATTTGGCCGACAAGATTGACAACGAACCGGTATGGATAGCATTAGACAACAATAGAGGCTATCAAGTGACATTTTATGCCGAGTTTGGAGCTGTAAGTGATCGAATCTTGTGCGATTTAAACACACTCGAGATCGGAACAAAGAATACCAGTCAAATATGTGTGGTTCCTGTCAGTTTACTTATGGGGATCCACCATCGTAGGTCGAGCACAGTCGTAACTACTGATATATCGAATGCTGAAAGTGATTCGAATCTCCCGAATGACTTTTCATCGATACCAATCGAGAGTCCAGCAACAAAGCAAAGGATTTATCAGCACATTGATGTATCGAATTTCAAGAAGAGTGTTCGAGCTCGACTGATGGTCCATCAAGTGGTAGCCGGTATTCGGGAAGCAACAACACTATCATTCGATTTCTTGATTCTTCTCAGTCTCGCATCGATGCTTGCCGCATTTGGTCTACTTGAAAATTCCTCAGTGACCATTGTTGCGAGTATGCTCGTCAGTCCATTGATGAATCCAATTATGGCCATTGTGTTTGGTCTATCGGTTCGTGAGCATTCTCTATGGCGACATGGTGTTCGAAATGAATTGATCGGCCTTTTTCTGTGTATCCTATGGGGTTTCATCATTGGGTGAGTCATTGAATAATCTTCGACGTTTTTGTTTTAAATTTCGGTCGATTTAGTCTGTGCACCAGTCATTCTGAAATAAGTTGGGGAAGTTCACCGAGTTTTCCAACGTATGAAATGAAATCGCGTGGTGACCTCAAACGTTTGTGGGTGGGTGTCCTCATAGCATTGCCAAGTGGTGCTGGCGTGGCACTATCAATTCTTGGCGGAAATATAGGTAAGAAAATATTCGAATTGATAGTGATAACTTTGCATCCTTCTCAATTCTAGGTTCATTAATCGGTGTTGCCATATCAGGTTTGTAGATCATCTAAAATATATACCCTTCTGTCTATGTTATTTTTAGCTTCACTGCTACCACCTGCGGTTAACTGCGGTCTTCTTTTTGCATATGCTGTACTTTCTCAGACACTTTCGAGCGTAGCACTGACTCATACCACTGGCCGTACAGATGAAGAATCAAATCAACAAAGTTTTCAATTCCAACATCGCCTTCGACCGAACGATCCTATCGTTAACTGCTCAAAATACGTTGATAATGAATACTATCCGTTCTATTCATGCAATATGGCCCATGAAGCAGCTATTCTTGGCAGTTGTAGTCTACTCTTGACTGTCGTCAACATTATATGCATCATTGGTATGGCCTTAATAATTCTTCGTATTAAAGAAGTTGTTCCGTTGCATCAAGAAAATGAACGTAACTTTGGGACTATCTTTACACAACCAAATTTAAGCGCACTAGCTACCCACAATCAAAATGAACGATCATCGGACACGATCCAAAGGGTCTCTACGAATAGTTCGAATTCTTTTATCGATTTAAATGACTTACAAATGCTTGCCAGAGACCTTGATCTAGATATTTTTAATCCTAATGATCGCGATCTGGGAAAGCCAGATAGTGAAAAGAGAGTGCTATGTTTGGTAAACAATCTTCTGGACATGTATGAAGAAAGTCCGTCATTGTTTGTTGACTTTTGCCGTTATCAACCTTATGGTGCGCAAATATCAACTAGGCAGGAACACGTATCGTTTTA